GTAATGCGATTCCGGTTTTGCATCCCGGCTGCCAATGAAGTTGCATTCTTGTCCTTGGCCCAACATGCACAACACATGATCGTTTCAAAACCGGCAATGATCGATACAACACGTCCGGAATAATCAAATCAAACGTTAAGGTGGTGCTCGTGACTTCTGACTTGCTGTGGGTTTTCACCAAATGACAAACAGACTGCTGGCAACAACAATCGTGTATTATAAGTTATGTATATATAGTTGCCAAAGTGCATCGACGCTGCCCTGTCGCGGAAAATAGTGTTCCATATATATATATATGTATATATATGTGTATATATATGTGTATATATATAGCTATATATATATATGTATATATACACATATATATTAATAAAAATAAAAGTATACATATATATATATATCTATAGATATATAGATATATACGTATATATAAGTATAAATGTAAATATATATATATATAGATTTATATTTATTTAGAAATATATACATATATATACGTATATATAATATGTAATATATGGTTTTGAACGTGTCGAGAACAAAACAAGCTCGCACCTTGGAACTGTAAACTACCATGGACCTCTCAACAAAGAAAACATGACACTCTCGCTGAAACGTACGTTTTTGCTCGTGTTTCGCCCGTCGAGGTAGATCTGAAGAGGCAAGGCAATTAAATTGAGTTTTTTTCATGTGTGGATCATGCAAATTTGCGGTGTTGCCTGTTGATCCCTTCAGGTCTCTAGGGCCCGATCCCTAAACTAAACAAGAAATAAGAAACCACCAGTTTGGTCAGATTTTGTGGACGCCACGATCTTGTATGTGCGCATGATTATCAAACCACTTGGGATTGCCATTCGGGACGGCATTTTTTGTTGTATTTTAACATGTGTTTGATGTTTTTGGGTTTTTATGCAGATGTTGGGCCACTTTGTCGATTCAATTCTGGAGTTCCCTTAGCCAGTGCACAAATGTTTTGACGTTTTGAATTTTGTTTGACTGCATTTGCCGACATCGGATCCATTCGGCATAGTTTCTGAAGTGTTGTTGGGTATGTGTGTTCAGTCAAACGATCCATGTTGGTGGAATATGTTGAAAAATTCGGGCGATAGACAAATGTTCGATGATCGAAGAACGTAAAAAATAAAATGAAAGTACAACTGCATTTGATTTCCACATTGTCCATGCGTCGCAAAGCAACATAATCATCCAATCGTCGCCTTGAGGTCTGGGATATTCTAAAAAGACAGCACGCCACTCACCCGCCTATTTCACCCTGTCCTTGAGCCACCATTTGCGGCGTGCAATTCTTGCTCAGGGGCCATTGATGCAACAGTGTGTCACACTGATAAGAACAAATACGCGCCTGTACCTGGAAGAGGCTAAGTCCATGTGCTAAACATTCAGACCCCGCCTTGGAGAGAGGTGTTACTTCGAACCTCCTCACTATATTAATTTATATAATCTGTTCTCACCTTATTTGCATTGCCACCTTAGGCCACATGTCTGGCCATCTTCTCACTTCTATTAGTGGTCTTGAATTCCGTTACACCTAGTGAGGTCGGGGTACCATATTAATATACCGATACTTCCCACATTTGCGGCTAAGACCTTTCTGGTCTCACTCATGCACACCAGCAGCTTTACGCTATGCTAGTACTTATTCTTCAGGACTCACGCATTGATTGCTTTGCAAGCATAGTTAAAGTGTCATGCATTGATTGCACCATCACATGATGCTATGAAGATCTTCCAGTCTTTCGATTTCTCCTCTGTATTGGGCCGCAAGCTCGGCATCATGGTTTGTCAGAGTTTCACTGTGCTTCTCATTCATTTCTTCTAGCAGTGCTTTCATTCTCTGTTTTGGTTCTGCCAGTTCTTGTTCGATTCTTCTGCTTTCAGGTTCTCCCTCATGTATCCAAAGGCGCTGCAAGGTTTGCAGTTGCTTTCTCCATGTTTTCTCTCAAGGCTGGTATTTTCGCCTTGATCACCACTCCTTGGTGATCTACTCCTCTCTTTCTGGTTCTCACCTTCTCCATTGCCATCACCACTGTCATGATCTGTTTATTTTCCTTGAGCGCAAGACGCCTTCGATATCGACAGATTCTGCACTTGATCATAGCCATTTGGCCAGGGATGCAAAAACATGCAAACGACTGCAAAACGTGTGTGATACCTATGCCAGTCCTCTAGATAAGAACAGATACTACACATGCTCTACCTGCTGTCACATCACTGAAATGTTTCTCACCCCGGCTTTGCACTGGCCTCTGGTCATGTGCAATTTCAAACTGGAGGGTGATTACATGAATTAATCGTCTGCTTCTTCGTCACTGGAGATGTCTGTCAAACTCTGCATCATCTTCCACACTTCCAATCTTTGTTCTGGTCTTTCGTTGCAAAAGCGGCACAGGTTTGCCATGATTTGTCTTCGTTCCACATGTTTCATCGCACCTTCAGGATTTCCACATTCCATCTCATAACGCAATTTCTCAGTAAGCCGCTAGGTCATCCACATTGCCATATGCTCTGGACTTCGAGGCTCATATGGAGGAGCCATTTCCTCAGCAAAGAAATCGTCAGGTGGATCTGGAGGAAGCAAACTTTCGATCTCAGGTTCAGAGGTGGATGTTGTGAATCCACTGTCAGGCTCAACTGTCATGAAATCACCAACATTGAAGTTTGGATCATGTCTATCTTATATCAGAACAAACTCAGGCAAACACTTAAGGGGAGTGATGTACGCTGGTATCGTTCGGACAACTAACACAATTCCAAAACCGTGTATACGCAAACGCATATATATAATTATTTTGTCAGCATATGTATATAATATATATATATATACGTACGCCGATCTCGAAACGCCACTGAATTGTCGTGAAAAATCAGCACTGCAAAAATAAAGATGGAACTCGATGGACCTGCGATGCCGGCTCAAAAAGCATTTTTTTCTCCGCTCTGCTAGCTCTTTGTTAGTCTGGGGAGTTCGCGATGTAAATTCGACCACCAAGCAAGTGTAAGTGACAGTTGGTTGCATCTGCCGCTTCTTCTATGATGTGAATCTCACGTTCGTGAGTTGTCACAAATGATGCTCAGTGTTTTTCCCCCCTAAATAGGGTAAGGGAGGGTGGGCCGAAAGAAAACGTTGGTTGTGAAAGAAAGGTGTTTTAACCCTCCTCTTCCTCACCCTTGATATGAAAAATGCCACACGAACATAGAGTTGATGTGTGTTACCAAGGGACGGTGTGTTGTTATGTTTTGGTTGTGCGAGTTGTCAAATTTGAAACACTTGATTTAGATACCGCGTGACTCACAAGATTTAAAGTATGGAAGACATGGACAAGGTTTTGCACTGAGTTGCAAAATTTGTTTTAGAAACATTTTGCTATGTTCTTACAAAGATAGTGCTCTCACTTCGTGACAGCACTCATCTTATATCAGAACAAACTCAGGCAAACACTTAAGGGGAGTGATGTACGCTGGTATCGTTCGGACAACTAACACAATTCCAAAACCGTGTATACGCAAACGCATATATATAATTATTTTGTCAGCATATGTATATAATATATATATATACGTACGCCGATCTCGAAACGCCACTGAATTGTCGTGAAAAATCAGCACTGCAAAAATAAAGATGGAACTCGATGGACCTGCGATGCCGGCTCAAAAAGCATTTTTTTCTCCGCTCTGCTAGCTCTTTGTTAGTCTGGGGAGTTCGCGATGTAAATTCGACCACCAAGCAAGTGTAAGTGACAGTTGGTTGCATCTGCCGCTTCTTCTTTGATGTGAATCTCACGTTCGTGAGTTGTCACAAATGATGCTCAGTGTTTTTCCCCAGTCATTGTGAGCAGCATATAGGGAGATTTGTGAAGTTGGGTTAAGGTATTGACCAAAGCGCTTGGAGCTTGGACTGTACCACCGTCTTTCATCCCATGTCTTTGCATTGCCTCTTCGAGGCGGTTGCGTGATGACAAATCGGCAGGGTTCGATTATGAGCAAACCATCACTGTCCAGAAAAATTTTCGCCAACAAAGGTCAGTGTCAGCCATCAAGTGTGACAGCGCTAGCATGGTCGGCGAACTGCTGCTTGCCTTGATGGCTTAGCTTTTAGCTGACTCATTGGTGATCTCTTTGAGATTTCTGCGCTTCTAAAATTGCTCTTTGCACGACTGCTTGAGCAGCACCAAGCCCCACAGTTCCATTTGGGAGATGAATTGATCACCCGCGTAGGCAAGCCAAGTGTCAACCAAGGGCTTGAGGCACACCAAGCGTGATAGCAACTCTGACATCTCTATCGATTAAGATGGATCCGGCTGTAACAATGCTATCCACCGCTGCTTGGTCAGTGAAGACCGCTAAGGGGGGGGCGACCTACATTCAAGACTGAGTGTACTCTCGAGCGTTGTTCCAAAGAGCATGGTTTGTGCACAAAGGCAAGGGCTTCTAACTTGCGGGCGTCAAGTCGGCTAATTTTATTTGCAAAAGGCATGAAGGCTGATACGAAATGTTTCACGCTCCTACCCAAATAGCAAAGTTGAGAAGACCTTGAGTTTCACTTGTCTTTGCAACTGAAATGTTTTCGTGTTGCACAACTTGCTCCAGCATTTCTCAGGGCTTGTCGACGCGACTCTTTTCGTTTTTAGCCGTCAAGGTGCCCATGCTCATGGTACCAGGGTCAAATGTTGCATCGAGCAAGTCAGACGCCTGTTCGAAGTTGGGAATTTCATTACCTTCTTTGGCGTGGTCTCATCCCAGCAACTCAAGCAAAGCGTTGACGGCCAGTGCCAACACCCGGTACCCTTTCGACCTCTCAATGTTTGGGTGGCTATCGCATTTCTCAGGGCTTGTCGACGCGACTCTTTTCGTTTTTAGCCGTCAAGGTGCCCATGCTCATGGTACCAGGGTCAAATGTTGCATCGAGCAAGTCAGACGCCTGTTCGAAGTTGGGAATTTCATTACCTTCTTTGGCGTGGTCTCATCCCAGCAACTCAAGCAAAGCGTTGACGGCCAGTGCCAACACCCGGTACCCTTTCGACCTCTCAATGTTTGGGTGGCTATCGTACCCTTTCGACCTCTCAATATTTGGGTGGCTATCAAGTTGCCGGAAAAATGATGGCTTGCTGTTCGTCCAAGGGCTGCTGCTCAGTGTTAATTGCCCCAAGCAAAACGCTGACGGCCAGTGCCAACACCCGGTACCCTTCCGACGTCTCAACATTTGGGTAGCTATCAAGGTGCCGGAAAAATGATGGCTTGCTGTTCGTCCAAGGGCTGCTGCTCAGTGTTGATTGCCCCATGGTGTGGTTGAGCAGCAAGAAGTTTGTGGGCTGGACCCAGTCACGTCTGCATCAGTCGGCTGCCGCGAGGTGAAACGACCTTGACTTGCCAACAATTTGGTTTGTCTTGCTGCCATGTGCGCAGGGCTTCAGAATAAACGGTCTCCAAATTTGAAAAATCATTCAACGAATTGTTGGTTCTTGGTGTCTCACTTTGATCTTGTCAGCGCCTGTGAGGTGTAGAAACTTCGTGATGTCTGGCGCTACTCAAATGTCGATGTCCCATATGGCCTCTTAGTTTTGCTGGCATTGGTTTTTCTCTTGCACGGGAGCATGTTCCACAAGGTACAGGCCCGAGTGGACTCGACACGTTTCGCGGTGACGCAGCATTGATTCAAGCAGCATCAACTGGTTTGAATTCAAAACATCCAGAACAAAGACTTCGACCTTAGAATTATCTATAGGGTGAATTTGAAATCCAGAAAGCCTTGAGGCGTTGGACAGCTTGCTAGGCCACAAAAAATCTCAATTTTTTGTAGCCTCTAAAGTGAAACTGCTTTCGATTTTTGTTGCACGAAGTCAGTTCGGGCACTCATTGCCCGGGTGAAGTTTGTGGCACGACTTCTTCCAGCACATGTGGTATCCCACCATGCAACGTTTGCCTGGTTGTATTTTGACTGTGCAGCGTCCAACTTGCCAACGTTTGCACAACTGCTTGCCATCCACGAAAATTTCACAATTGTCAGGAACTGCAATGCCAGTGTTGGGCTTTCCTTTTCCCTTTGATGATTTTCCTTTGCCGTCAAGGTGGTTCGACGCTTTGCCTTTTCCTGTGGCCGACGAAGTGTTGGTTGCGTCGTGTTTCTGGCTGCTCACGCTCTGCAAAGGAGTCAAATGTTGCAAGACTTCTGGGTGTTCAGAGAATTTCTCAAAGGCAATGTCAAAAGGCTTATCAGCTCCAGTTTTCGGCTGCAGCTTGCCTCGAGTGTCGTTCGAAACCTTGACCCATAAAGCTTTGTCTGGGTTGATCGCCTGTTCCACACTGATATGTCTGTAGTTTGTCAACGGCGTTTCATTCATCTTTTCGAACAGCTTTTGAGTCCACAAGTCAAGAGCTGCAAAGGTTGCTATGCCTGCTAGATCATAAGCCAGCGACCTTCTCAAAAATGCTTGTCGGAGTTTATGTTCACCCGTCACATTCACGTCATCCAGCTTCTGCTTTTTGCTGAGCCGCAAGCCCCCAGAGTTGTCCAGCGCCAAAGAGGTGTCAACCTTTGAGTGCAAAGCTTCATCATGCCTGGACGAGCAACGATTCAACTCGATGTAAGTGATGACATTGTCTTCCAGTTGTTGGCAAACACGATCTATAAGGGAGTGTGAAGGTTCACTCTGAGGCGTAAAGCTCAACCCAGTCAACCTTTGCTTCTGCATGCGGATTCTGTCCATCTTCTCAGCTAGTGGTATTATCCTTGCCTCGCTTGACTCTGATCTGTCTGCACGAGATTTCAGGTCCTCCAGAGACAAGGCATGCGCCTCGAAAAACAAGCGTCTGAAGCGTGTGGTCGAAGCAGCTGATGGTGCATTCCCTAACGTAGTAGTCAGGAAACCTATCAACGCAGTGTCATCGTTTTGTCCAGGTTGGTATGTACTACAGTATGCATATGTTGCGTAACTGTTGATTCCTGCAGCATCGAGCGCATCAATTTCCAGCTGATCTATTCCAAGCTCCAGCGCCCTGTTCTGGAAGGCAACCTTCGAGTCTATTGCCATGCTAGGGTAAGCGGGGCGTAAAACAAGATTATTTGTAAAAGTTTTGAAGAGAGTTGGACCAGAAATTTACAACCGCGTTGTAACAAACCCTTGCGCACCAAAAACGGAGAGTGACTGTCCTGACATGTGAGTGTAACTCAAAAAGGCTTCTCAAGGTGTTTCGAGTTCTGTTTGAAGCGTGTTGCTGATGAGCCAATGGATATATCACGAGTTGAATGGGCAACGGCCACTTGGATGTCATGCCTCTGCCGCGTGATTCGACGCTAGGCATTGGGCTCCCAAATGATTCCTGCTTTCAAGACTTTCGTGATTACCAAAGGCTGCCATCGCGAAGCAAAACTTCAAAAAGAAAACCTTGGAATAGCTGCTTGAAAAATTTTATGACGATTTGAGTTGACTCACTTACTCATGGCTGGACTGCGAAACTTTTTATCCGTCTGGGAGAGGTGCGAACATGTTAAGGGCTGGACCCTTGTCTAAGCAACTGCTGCCCGTCTGTGTAATCAACTTCAAGTTGTTGTCATTGAAAATAACGTCACGGATCTCTCTTCGAGGCTCGGTAGGCATGTGAGCAGCTAGCGCACACGACTGCCTCAGGGGTAGCAAGGTCTTCCCTCGATGCCCTGCCGAACGACGCTGATGGGCTACGTCCACACCAGAACCTTTCGTCCTCTGAGGCCAGCAAATGGATAACTTTCGAGCACCTGTTGATCAAGCATTTGTCAGCTTCCATGTCGTCTGCATCTAACCGACGAAAAGTAGTCTTTTGAGCCAAAACTGCATGTTCGCCATTTGAAGATGCCACTGACGAAGCGTCATCAGAGGTGCTTGAGCTGCTGTCACTGCTTCCACCATCCCTCTCCAACGCAGTGTCGAAAGCCAGCTGAAAGAGACGGCTGACCCTGGTGGCGTCCGGGTCGAAGCTTCCATCCCTGATTCGACAGAACATGAGGTGAATCTTTTTGCAAAGGCCTATCTGGTTGTCCCTCGAATAGATCATCGCTGACCTGTATTGAGCGTTGACGTGATGCCCAAGTGCAAGTTGCTCGTCTGCTGTAAACATGGTACTCTTGGCTGCCCAACTCAACAAGGTGGCCTTCATGCCGTGCACTGTCAATGTCGATGCCCTGTCACTGCCAACATGTGGCTCCAAAAGTTCCCTAAGCCAGGCTGCCGCTTCTGCTGTGGACATGCGGGAGTCGATCCACGTCTTTTCACTTTCCGACCAACTGTTGCGTGATCCATGATCTGACATCTGAAGCTTCTCGTGCATCCATCCAACTGCTACCCCATGACTCATCGTGTGTCACATGACCCAGCGCCGTGAAGGGAAGCAGTTCCATCTGTTGTTCTTTCCCACGAGATGACTTGTGCTTTGAAGTCATGGCCTCAAGGGGGGTGACAGGTCCAGCAGTCGACAACTCTAAGGAAACGACGTACATTGAATCGTGCCATCTGGCTGCAGCAGCGAAACAAAAGATCAAATGGCCAGCAATCAACCTGCGATGATCTTCTTGGTCATGAAGGCAAATGTCCTCAAGGGCTGCAATCTCTGCCACCTTCAACAGTTCAGGGGGCTTCCTGAACCTCTTTGTCATGTAGCAAGCATGTGCTGCACCTGTCACCCTAGGACTAAGAATGTCATTCAGTGGAGCCGCTGTAAAACCAATCAAAGCATCCGCAAATCTCAAGGCTTCTACAAACTGTGAGGGTGTAGTGGACCCTGCTCCAGAATCCCTCAGGTGACAGATGTAAGCATATACAACTTTCTCATCTTGACGCAAAGGTGAACCACCTCCATGATTCTGAATCCAACATGAAAACCGCCACAAAGCATTGCATCGTTTCAGAATTGTGCCTGTTGCCTTTGGGGAGAAGACGTCCATGAAAACCTGTGATAGCTCCCCGTCTGAACACAACGTACCGGCAAAGCTCCTTAAAGACTGTCACAACCGTGTGCATTCCAAATCCAGTAGAACCATTGTCTTGAACCTGGCGAGAGCAACATGTCGAAAATTATCACATGAAGATACCAAGCGAGAAGATTTGATGCGCTGCACGGTGAGTTCAGTCTGCTGTATTTGCTTGGGCACAAGGTTGTCTGATGAGCTTGCAGTGACATGGTCTGAGAGTCCAACTAAAGGCAATGCCTGAGACACCTGAAAGGGTTCCCAAAAAGGTTTCGGCCTGGTGAACAAGGTTGCCAATGGTCCCCTCTGCCAAGGTTGTTTCAAATCTGCTGTCAACTTGTGCACATGTCTGGATGCCATTTCATCTGCAGTGCGTTTGATGGACATACTTTCATCTGACGAAGTTGTAGGTTTCGTTGCAACAGATTTCGGCTTTGGGTTCATGAAAACAGGCTCACGTGAAGGTAAAAAATCATGAAACTCTGAAGCATCAACTGATGCATCATCGTTGTTGCCAAACAAATCTTCCGTGTCAGGCAACTGGACGGGCTCCCAACTGCCGTCATTATCTGACGTAGGGACGCTGCTGTCAACAGGTGGTAAACTGCTCTCAGGAGCTGCAGATGAGTTGCCAATCCATCTACTTCTAAAACCTTTGTGTTCCACAACCATGCTATTCCCAGCTGAGCTCCAAACCACGCTGCCTACTATGTGGTGTATGGCTATACCGACACCACTGATAGCACCCTGGAATCGCACAACCGTAGCTGCAAACCTGATGCGACTCAATTGATTCAGCCGTCTGATCCTGTGACACACCTGCCTCAGGTCTGAAATCTGAGCTGCACCAGGAGTAAAAGCAAGGGAATGCCCAATCGATGTGCCAATTCGATGAGGATCAAAAGCAGTGATGAAACGAGTTGATGTTTTCAAAAATGCAGCAATCTGTCTCGTGCCGTTTGACCCCCTACCGCCGAAAGAAAACGTTGGTTGTGAAAGAAAGGTTTTTTAACCCTCCTCTTCCTCACCCTTGATATGAAAAATGCCACACGAACATAGAGTTGATGTGTGTTACCAAGGGACGGTGTGTTGTTATGTTTTGGTTGCGCGAGTTGTCAAATTTGAAACACTTGATTTAGATACCGCGTGACTCACAAGATTTAAAGTATGGAAGACATGGACAAGGTTTTGCACTGAGTTGCAAAATTTGTTTTAGAAACATTTTGCTATGTTCTTACAAAGATAGTGCTCTCACTTCGTGACAGCACTCATTCAAAGCACTATGCATATCCTTCACCAACTGCAAGCTCGCTGGAGAAATTCCATCACGCTCAAACAAAGAGAACACATCCATCAAAACATCGTGAATTGCATTCAATGCACTGATCATTGCAGTATCACTCTCGGTTTCAGCATCGTCGATCAGCTCCAAGCGGTGTCTCAAGCAAATGCAAAGGAAACAGTGCACTGCCACTTTGTTGTAAGTGGGCGCAGGGCTGCTTGAAGAGGCTGCAGCACTGCTAGGGGCATGCTCTGGTTCTTGTTCATGCCTACGGGTTGAAAACCGAACCAGCGTTTTGCATGTTTCTATGTCTTTCATGGGGTTAACGGGGTGGGGTGGGGCAATAACGTTCATTTGCATTGCCTGACATACATGATGCTACGCTGCTGTACGTCTTTTTGCACTTGCTCACATGCATGATGCTATGCTGCTGTACGTCTTCTTGCAAGTCCTCACATACATGACGCTACGCTGCTGTACGTCGTCTTGCACTTCCTCACATATATGATGCTACGCTAGTGTACGTCGTCTTGCACTTCCTCACATACATGATGCAACGCTACTGTATGTTGTCTTGCACTTCCTCACATATATGATGCTACGTTAGTCTACGTTAGTCTTGCTCAATTGCAAGATTTGGACGCATGTTCGCACTTGGCAGTGGAGATGGGAAAACAGTTCCCGCAAAAACCTCTCCAAGCTCACTGCAGAAATTGTGAAGAACACTTAGCGCAGAAAAAAAGAGAGTGCCGCTGAGGTTTTTTACATATCCAGTGAAAAGTACGCGCGTACTTTTTAAGGAAATTGAACTTTGAGAGAGATGCAAAACCACTGCGATTTGTGGTATGAAATCAATGACGAACACTAGAAACGTTGAAAATGCGGGTTCGATAAACAACCCGCCGGGTTGTTCATCCCACATGTCACGACGTGGTGGCATGGCAATCAACAGTGAGGCAAACATGAAATAGAGAATCAGCATTGAAGCCATCCAACATGAAAGTCCATGAAGCTGCAACTGCTCAAGCACTGAAAAAGGAATTGGGCTCGTCAGGCTCAAGGCGTCTGTGGAATGCACTAGACTCAGCAGTAGCAAGGTCTGCAGAGAACGCTTTGTTGCAACCATGGTCTTGTGATTGGCCCTCTCGCCAATGCTTTCACGCAACATACGCAGCACACCCCGAAAGTCATCTGATGCACGCTCCTTTGTCACCACATCTGTAACAACCAATTCACCTGCATTTTCATCATACACACCAACACCATGCATGAGGTATCTCATTCTGTCGGCTGACAGCTTCTTTGTGCCCAGGTCTGCAAAGTTTTCCTTGGTAGGAATGGATGGCGTTTCCAGCGCCTTTGTCTTTACCAACTGCTGTACCCATAGCACTCTGCACGACAAGTGTCTGATGCGTCCAACACCAGACCTGTGAAGCACTTGCTTGGCTGCACTGTTGTCTAAAATCAGTTTCAACCTGACCTTGCATCCAATGCAAAACTCCAGACAAACACGCAAAAGCAGGCCATCACACGTTGTCGAAACAGCAGCATGAATCTGTGCCTCTGCAGAGCTCAAGGCTATCACACGTTGGGTACGGCTCGTGGCGAGCAAGAGACATCCTTGAAAGCAAACTATTCCAGCGCTGACTGATCTTCTATGCCCCTTGTGAGCTGCCCAATCTGAATCTGAAAACAGTTCAATCACCATTCCATTGTCATCGGGTGGTGAGTGCCACAGCCCATCCAGCTTCATGTGAAGACGCAAGGAAAAGTCAGGTACTGAAAGCAGATACAAGCACAAATGTTTCATCACATCATTGTCCAGCTCCTCTCAGCTGGTGCACTCATACTCTGTGCTAATCCCCTGATGGTGTATGAGCACTCGACAAGGTCAGTCGAAAAGTAAAGCAAAATGCCCACAGCTGAACGATATCGAGATGCTTTCTCTGCTTGGAGAAGTGGAGTGTCATCCACTTCTGTCATCATCTCATGGCAAGGCACCTTCTTTGGGTTCATTGTACTTTGAACTCCAACAACTTCAAACAACGTGTCAAAGTGACGTGGATACTGCTGAATGTGGATCGTCTCCTCATCAACAAGGATATGAATACGCTTCAGAAACTCGAAAGTATCACCAGGCTGTTTCATGTAGTGCACTGAGGTCTTGTATCTTCCATTGAGAGTTGGAAGAAGCTTTCCTTCAAAGAACTGCCGCTCTGTCACCACCAACATGTCATCCACGTGCAGTAAAATCAAACATTCACCACATGGACTGCGCAGCAAGCTGGGGTATGCACTGCAATGTTCAAAGCCAAGCTTGTCACCAAGGAATCCACTCACGCTTTCAAACCATAGTTGACTGCCATCCCGTTGCCCAGGAAGTACGCGTCCAAGAGCAAAGGTCTCTGACCCCGAAGAAACAATCGCGGCTGCTTTTGTTCAACTGTCAGAAAAGCGTCGCCAATATAGATGGCGCCCCTCACAAACTGTTTCTCAGGGTGCCTCATCTCCCAATGCAAAAACACAGAAGGCAGGAACCGATTGGTGATGTTGCTCGATGCTGGACTGAACAAGTCCTGACGCTCAGGTGATAACCAGGCGTACTCCCTTGCCACGTAACGGGCCCTTCTGAGCCAGCACCGTCTGCCATCCAACACTTTGTCGCGCCAGGTGATGACGTACCTGGTGGAAAGTCTCTTTGGGTTCATCCCTTCAACAGTCTCAGGAGGGAGAAGGACAACCATCTGCTTCAAACGAGTTGTTTCCACTTGCATTGCAATGGCATCCAGGTACTTCAACTGATCTGTGCTCAGCTGTGGTTCTTGCTCTGTATATGGATAAATGAGCTGTTGTACCAACACATCTTCAGAGGCAGGTTCATCATCGGCATCACTTGCCAAACCAAAGTCAAACTCTTCAAGGCTGTCCAACTCAGCACTGGTGAAGGACGTATAGTTGTGGTCGTCCTCATGCTCATATTCAACACCGGCCACCACACAAATGCGCGCCTTCTTCGAAGCAGGTTCATCTCCTGCCACAGGTGTCAAGGGCGCTTGTTGGTCATTTTCCACAGGTGTGGCAAGGCCAGATGGAGCTGCCAAAGGTGGAGGAGGTGGCATGCTGCCAGGCTGTGGCTCAAACCCCGCCTGGGTCTGTGCTGGGACTGCTCCAGCTGGAAGGTCTTCAACTGCTGCTTCAATGGGAGTTGGTGGCAAACCTTTCACAGCTTCAGCTTCAACATCCAAAACCGGTTACAACTTGCTTGGGCCAGGCTGCACACTCGCTGGTGGAAGAGCTGGGACAATTTGAGCTGCAGGTTTCAAAACGCGCTTTGGCACCATCAACCTTGAACCCAACGTGGCAAATGAACATTCCCAAGGAGTCATCTCAACATTGCCAACTTCTGTAAGGATCCAAGGACTTGGAATGCGACGCACTGACCTCGTCATGAACAAACCACCGTTGCAGGAAATGATGTGGGCATCATTGCTCTGTGTTTTGCCCAACCAAACTCCACGCTGCAAGAAGGAAGTCCTTTGGCTGTAGGCTTCAAGTAGCCCATGCAAGTCTCTCCAAAGTAGCATACCCTTCCATGATACTCTTTGCCAGGACATCGCTCGTATGCTGTTTCACCATTGCTGACAGCAAACCGACAATGCAACCAACCTGCATGAACAACAGCCCAGGCATACAGAGGGTGTAGTGCGCTGAACAACACCTTGCCATCAGCACCAACCGAACGTTCAACTTGCTCAATCAAAAGATTGGCCTGGTTACGTATGGTCTGCACAGTGACTTCTGCAGCACCATTGGCTTCCTTGTTTCCAGGTACAACAAGCTCAACTGTGGTGTGGACTCCAAGCCCCTTCAAAGCTTTACGGCAATCATCAAGCAATGCCAATGTACTTGGCTCATTGTCTGTTCGAAAGCAAACCTCTTGGTGTCCAAGCCATGTCACAAAACGGCATAGCTCCTGAGTCAAGTAAGGAAGGCTTCTGCCTCCCTTGGCAGCTGTTGGAACTGCATGCATCATCTTGGTGCTCCTGTCATGTATGAAAAGCACAGTCAAAGAATCATCTGTACCACGATCTGCGTAGCCAAAATCAAAAGACACCAAATAATGTTCAGACTGAAGGTGGCTCTCTCGATGGTGCTTATCCTGACGTCCCTTGTGTGCCACACAAAGTTCACACCATGCCTTGAAAGGAATGTGTGTGGCATTATGTTCACGTATCTCTTCTTCTGTAGGCTGAGCAGGGATGCCAGGTTGATTGGCTGATCGTTGCAGTTCCTTTCCCAAGTTGTGCTTCACAGAGTGAGCTGCCAACAACTCTTGCTGTTGCAAATGCTGTACCAAACGCTTGAAAAGTTGAGCTCAAGACCCATTCACTGAAACACCCAAAGACGCACAAGCTGCTTTCAAAACTGCAAGTGAAGAGCTGCTGTCAATGCGTGTACCATCCAACACTATCTCCTCAGGACCAGCCAAGACCTCATCTGGTGGGTCAGGTTCATCAAGTGCCACTGGAGCCTCGAAAGAGCCTGGCACATCAGCAGGTGGCATCACTTGCCAAGGAGGATTCATTGAGTCATCAACTTGTAGCAAGGCAGGTGCATCAAACTGTTCCAACGCAGGTGCAGCTACGACAGGTTGTGGGGCTGCTGAACTTTCTGAACTTCCACGTGCAGGTCCCAATAAATCTAAGGCCTCTTCAATCGCTGAAAATCCCAACTGCTCATGGGTGCACTCCTTTGCATGTCCAATTGTAATCACCTCTTGCACTGATCCAGGGTTAGGCAATGCACTTGTGAGTGAACTTGCAACATACTCATCTGTGATAAATCGGTTGTGCTCATGCAACTGCCATCGTCCAGAACGTTTCACCAGGGTGGTACGATACCACAACATGCTAGCAGCTGGCGCAAGAGTCACATCAACGCAAATGGGCTTGTAAGTCTTGATACCATAGCACTCAGCTCCAAGCTTTGTCCACGTAGTTCTGAGACGTTGCAATGAGTCCCTCAACTGCACAGCACGCAAATGCAACTTGCCTGAATCTTCCAACATTCTGATGTTCCCTGAAATGCAGAGGCTATTACGCTTGAAAGAAACTGGGATGGCTTTCTCAGCTTTCACAAGGTGAAGATTGTTGTCGATCTTCTGCAAATTCCAGCCATGTTTCATCAACTTGCCAAGTGACAGCAAAGGACTAGTTATTGAAGCCAAAATGAACTCCTCTTTCAGTGAAAAATCACCAAAGTCAACTGTTGCAAGACGAGTGCTGGAAATGCTCAAATCGCTCCCCTGGATGCACAAAACGCGGTCTGTCATCTGAGGCCGTTGCAACACCTGTATGTGCATATTCCATGGGTAAAGCTGACCCATCTGCCCCACTGTCCCGGATAATTTCAACTGCTCGAACATGATTTACATCACTTTTATCCACAGTCCAAACACCATCGCAGTCAGAATATGTCATGTCAAACGTTGTGCAACTGCATGGCAAAACATCCAAACATGTCGAAACAGCTGAAAGGGTGCAAATGCTAGCACAGAAAATTGAATCTGAAGTCAGGTCATCTACCCAAGGCTCTTCAAACATGTCATCAGCTGAACTGTCAACCCAGTCTGGAGCAAATTCAAACCTTCTGACAGGCTGTTGAACAAACGTGGTATGTGGTGAAGGCTGCGCAAATGAAACCTGAATGGATATCAGTAGATTTGAGACCAAGGGCAAACAGAAAGGTAAGAGCAAGTCAAAGGGAAAATCCAAGATTGTTCAACTCACAAAGCCCAAGGCAAAGTGAAAGGCAAGTTTTCTGATGTTGGTAAAGGAAAAAGGAAAGCCATCAACACAAGTTTATAAGTCCAACGTTTGCTTGTACTGTGGGAAGGCTGGCCGCTGTAAACGAGACTGTAGAAAACACAAACACGACCAAGCAACTGGGCAAGTGCGTCAAGTGGAAGGTGGCATTGTACAACAGGCTCCACCTCCACCTTTGAATCAGGGCTATTCTCAGCCACACCAGCTTGGAACTCAGCAGCCACTGCAGCCTTGTGCAGAGCTGGCTGAAGTGCCAGTGATACCAAACTTAGAATGAATGCGTGAACGTGCCCAGTTGTTGGTTACCGTTTCAAATCCCAAAACACGACTTCGAACAGAAGCATATGTTGAAGATTGACCCAAAGAAAGTTGAATATGCTGTCGAATATGTGCAGGAAGACACCTAACAAGCACTGAGAGGCTCACTTCATCAGGCACAGTCAAA